TTTTTTTGGAAATGTGTTTCATCGCTTTTTAGTAGCTTCAAGTTTCGAGAGAAAGAGAAAGGCATAGAACTTAGAGCGAAGGATTTTTGGATTCCCTAATCGAGCTACGTGTGCGAACTTACCTGTTCCTGCTTTTTTTTGGTGCACAAGTGTTCCACAGGGTGCGTTGAAGAATTATATAAAATAGAGAGATGAAACAGAAGAAATATAAAGTTAGAAATTTTATATAGATTTTTTTTTTTAATAATTTTACTAAACTATTGGCTTTGTGTGTGCTTGCTTCTTGCTATTTTTTAATTGAGTATTTGTGTATGCGATATGGTTCTTCAAAGGCGCAGTAATCTAACGAGAAAGGCGTAGTATTGGTAAATTTTCAACACCACAACACCCTTCAAAGTTTGGTTATTATTATTTTATTTTTTTTCAAACAGAGGTGAATTATAGTAGTGAAAGAGAGTACATATATGTAGAAGAGAAGTGTATGGTTAGTGCGTACTACATATTACAAGGTGGGAATCATGTTCAAAGTAACCGATGAAATTATTATTCTTTTTCTAATAGTAGCCGGCTCTGGCGGTCAGGATGAAGCTTCTCACAAAAACCAAAGTTAGTTGTTATAAATAGTCACACCCCAAACCAGATTTATTTGGACAACAGACGACCAATGTACAGTGGTTCGAAACTGGCATTTAGTGTTCACATTAATTTTTCACAAAATTTGATTAATTCCCTTTAAATAAAATAATAATAATAGATTGGCGCTTACACATATGCTAGTGTTTGGCCGAGCTTCTCCTCCGACTTGTGGTGTGCGCCTTGATGTTGTCACACAAAGCGGAGGGACCTACAGTTTTACGCCGACTCCGAACGGCGACTGTATTTTTATGAGAAGCTGTTTCGCATTGCATGCCGAGGGACGACCGCTGTTAAGAAAAATCCTTTTTCTATATTTTTTGTGATGTTGCTTTGACCAGGTTTATAAGCTTTCAATAAAAGAATGAATCAAATTGGTTGAAAAGTGAAGGCTCCATTGAATTATGAACATTAAATCTCAGCTTTGAATCATTGTGCGATGTATTATATGTGTGTAAATGCGTAAGGTGAGTAAGCGAACGAATGTATGTACTAACAAAAAGCGCAAAAGCCTTTTCAGAATATCAGTGGGTTTTTTCGACTGTTGCGGCGGTGACATGTTGCGACGTAGGCAGATGAGCACCTCATAGTAATACCCCTGCAGAGAGTGAGGTTAGGTTTTACCTAACTTTAGTCTCTTTACGCGAACAGTAGTGCCAACTATTAACTGTATATTTTGTTCGAAAGAAGCTAACTACTTTTGTGGAGAGATGGCCGCGAAAAAATCAGACCTGGATACCTCTGCATTTGCATGGCAACTAACTTGTAACTAACTTTTGGACATAAAATGTCAATAAAAAAAACATTTTTTTAATCTTTTATTTATTTTAATTTTTTATATTTTTATTTATTTCATTTATCAACATTGTATATTTGTTTACATATTATGCCGAAGGTGGTGGTCCTATATTGGAATTCCGTCAGACATAACATCCAAATGATAATATACAATTTCGAACTTCAGTTTTTTTACCCTGAATTCAAAAAATAATTTGTGAAGTGTAGAAAAAAAATTATTAAAGGTAGTTTTTGTATGCGGATTTTTAATTAGAAACTTGTTAAGAAAACAAACTCCCGATTGCGTTTAAGTTAGTTTTGTCATATCTCATTAAAAGTGATGTATTTATCGAAAGCCAGCCAAAAAGCTAACTATAAGTTGATTATTTTTAACAAATGATAATTTTTCACTGCAGGGACACTACGATGGTGAGAAGGGGGATTTTCGTGCCTTAGAAAGCAGTCTCATCACTGCAGCTCTCCTGCAATGTGAGATAACGTCTTGTGAGCTGCCTGATGCCAAGTTCTTAGGAAAAAACAAAAGAACAGCGAAAATTTCGCACGCTTGACCGCACGCTATGGCTGGTCGCGTGGGCTGTTGGCCGAATTAGTTAGACAAAAATTATCACACCGCACTCCTGCTCAACCCGAATAGTTTAAAAATATATAAATCATTATTGCGCTGGAAAGTCTTCAAAGTGAGGATCTAACTGGTAAAATGTAAGCACACCAATTATCCCGAAATACCACTTGTTAAACTGTATAAAATTTTCATTTTTTGTTCGTCTGGGGAACTGATGAAACCAAGTTTTTCCGAAATCCTTAATTATATAAAAAAAAAGTAATTTCTCAGTTTTCCCAGGTTGGCGATTTTAAGCTTTTTTTTGGATTTGAAGTTGGTGGTCGCACAGCACTATTTAAAACAGTTAAAAGTAATTTAAATGCAAATATTTTTACCAGGGACCAAAAATAGCAATTATGTTTATTAGCTAAACTTGGCGAACTATTTCTTAAGGCCGAAATAAAAGTTCTTTCCTAATAATAAAGCAGGTTGTGCTCATCCAAATTAAACAAGTTTACTATCGAATGAAAGAGAACTAAAATAGCTTAAAAACTGAAATGTTTAAGCGAGGAAAGCCACCTATTGAAACATATTTCAACAAAAAAATGTCATTTAATTTCCTTAGAACAAACCTTGGTTCAGGTATATGAATTTCTTTTGTATTAAATAAAAAAAGATATATATATATATATGTAAATAGAGGTGGTAACCTTCGTTCGTTATTTCTGTTTAAAAGCGTTTTCAGCGTTTCTTTCATTTGATGCCACACAACAAATTAAATTTGGCAAAGCGGTTTATTTATTAGCCGGAATTGACTTTCATTTCAGATTTTAAAATTATTTCACAAAGTTTAACTGTTAAAAAAATAACAGTTATTTTCGGTCCCCGATTTATACACCCATAAGGCCTGCCAAAGTGAATTGTCACACTATTTTTACCAAAAATGGCCGCTAGAATGGGCTTTGATGCAAAAAAAAAAAGGAACATAAAGGAAATGTGCAGGTAATGTTTCTCAACAGTGTTTCTAAACAATGTTTTTTGTAAAAATAAATTGCAAATTCAAATCCGTATTTTTTCTAAAAATAAATAGTGGATTCAGATTCTGCGTACCCGAAACCCCCACAGAAAGGTCTTTTGATGGTATAAATATTGGCATTTAAATAAATTTTAACCAGCATAAAATTGAAAAAGAACGCTTAAAATCGCCAACATGGGAACTTTCGGACATTCAGAAAAACTTGGTTTCATCAATTCCCCAGCCAACTGCGTAATACTTTTATAGGACGCCATAGTAAGTGTCTCATGAAATGCGCTTAGAATCGCAATAAGCGTTGCCGTTTTCACTCCGATCGGAGTGTTTAACTCCTTTTTTTAGGCCGAACACTACGTCACTCCCTCTGCAAAAACACTCCGCTTTAAGATTAGCAGAACTTAATATATATTTACTATGAATTGAAAATAAATGACCATATACCTACTACGTTTATACGTAAACTATTTGCAAAAAAATTAAATAAATAATAATACCTAATAAACAGTTAAAAATTCGTATTCAGTAAAAGGGCAATAATATGGTCATCGAAAAAGAAAATAAACTTTCTTCTATATAGAATAAATTTCGCTCATACTTTGAATGGAGAAAATGCTCACAACCTTATGAAAAAATTATTAAAATTCAACGTGAATGCTTATCCACTTCAAATTTACACGTTATTATACAAAAATTGAATCGGCTATGCAACTGCACACCAGAAATTTTTTTTTTTAATTCTAACTAAAAAGTTTAAAATTTGTTGATGAAGATTCGTTGAACTTTCCTTAGTTTTGCATAAAGTTTGAAACATTGATTCATGTACCTTTTTATAGTATAAACGATATTGTTGTAAAAATATAACAAAAAAAAATTTTTGCTTGCAAAACCTTGTGTATGCAAGATAATCAACTTTTGAAAGGAGATTTTCGGATTTTTTTTTGAATGTAAAGGTCAGATCGCCCAACGTGTTCAGGGACGTTGAAAACATAATATAATATAAATGGCCACGCTGATCATATTCATACAGCGGTTTCCGCTGTGTTACCTACAACTTATGTATATGTGCCTAAAATTATGCCATGATTCTAATCGCTTTAACGAAATTAAACAACTATCGCAGAAAATCAGCGGGCGTATTTGCTACTCACAAGCGCCATGAACTTGAACTTCACACGGAAATGGGGCGCCTTTACTGACTGTCCGTGAGAACTGTAGAAGCCTTAGACATCCAAATAATAAATTGAAGTCATTGATTATTCTTTGTGTGAAATAGCCAACAATTGTACTTGGCAACAAACAAACTTATGGCCAACTTTTACACACAAAACAATATTTTATATCAATCTCGACCGCGTTTGGCGTTCCAGTGTTAAGGTTACAAAGAAAACGAAGCAGCAGTCAAAAGAAAAAACAGAATGGCAAGGCAAGCAGTCAGCGATGTAGAAACAATAAAGCAGTAAAGTTACAAGATGGGTAATGGTAGGAGTAGAACGGAAATCACAACAACAAAAGTAGCAAATATGCATTTATAAAAAGCTAAGCGAGCAGCCAGCCAGCAAGGCAGACAGCCAGACGGGCATGGAAAAGACCAATCAGCCAGTCAGCCAGGCGGCCGAGTATGAACTTTGCAGACATACAGGCCTACAGACAGACAGTTAGTCAGTTAGTCAAGCAGTCTGTTAGTGAGGCAGCCGGTTAACAACTACATACATAGTTAAATATGTATGCCCCCTTAAGCGTCTAGTGTCTTGAGTGTCTAGTGAAACTTGCGGCGTTAGTGGGATGCAGCTTTGTGATTGGACTTTGCGTGAAACACTAAGAAAATGTATGAAAGTTGCAACGCCGTCGGCGCAAGGTAAAGAAGGATATGAGTGTACGATATTGTTATTGTTGTTGGTGTAGCCAAACATGCGAACATGCGAGCAAGATACTTAAGTACGCTCATACACATCACGCACTTATGTATGTATGTACATGCTTACATAAGAATACTACTTAGTATACGTAAGTATCCAAGTACATATATTGTTTGTGGCCTTTCCATGGCTGTTCTTGTCTTTTGCTTGTTGTTATTGCAAAAATATATGTAAGTATGCAAACGTTGCGTAAATCTGTGCGTTCTA